ATAACCCCCAATATTGGTGTTCATGCCAATGATAATACCCACATACGTCAGAGCCAGGAAAAACCCCAGCAAATATCAGGGCCGGCAATAACCCAGCAAGTGTTAGAGACCTCTCCCAAGCATAAATCCACACAGCCTGGTCCCCCATACCCCCCCCCACAACACAACCCAAAATCTCCCTCCAGTACAATCTTCCCCCAGCACTAATCCTTCTGCTACTTCCCCCCAGAAAAAGCATAAATCTCCCTGCAACACAAGCTCCCCACCCCTAAAAGGTCAGATCTCCCTCCGTCATGTTCTCTACTCAGCCCGTACCTCTCCAATGCAAAACACTCAGACCTCACATACTAACTGGAGCTATGCGCGTAGTGAAGGAAAGAATTAGAGTTCCCTGGCTGTGTTATGTGACAGAGCTGAGGAGGGGGATGCCTTTGTTCTGAGCCACTTTGCTTCTGAGGTCTGAATTTCATGAGTGTGTCACGATCTGGATCAGGCTCGGAGTCCAGTAGCTAACACCAGGCAAGTACTAGTCAAACAGGCCGGGTTTGGTACACAAGCAGACGGTAGTAGGAGCAGGCAGAAGCAAAGTCAGAGATCAAGCTGAGGTCAGTAGCCAAAGGTATCAGGTATGAAGTAGAAGACAATGAGAGTAGTCGATGAATCAGCAGCCAAAGGTCCGTACACAGGTAGCAGTATGAACGGATTGTATCACAGAAGGAAGCAGGAGCACAATAATCTAGCAAACAGGAAGTGCAGAGGCATGACTCAAATAGGAAGTTCAAGGGGGGGAGCAAGGAGTTCAGAGTTCAGCAGAAACTAGGTTTAATTTGGAGATCAGGCACAGAGCTATCCAAGGTTCTAAGGTGGCTAAGCAGGTAGAACCACTTCCAGCTACAGCAGAAGCCCTGGGTTCAGATCATGTTCCTGACAGAGTGACAGCATTACAGAGATTCCTGTGTACAGTCACTTTGTGGGTGTGGGTAATTTGGGGGGAAAACAAACAGGAGACACGGGCCATGTTCCCCCCAGTGTGATGCCCATGGCAGATGCTCTTGGTGGGTTTGGACCCCCATATCCCCCTCCTTATCCATGTCCCAGGCATGATTGTGTTATAAATACAATTCAAATTACTATTGTTTTGTGATCATTTGTGGCATCAGAAATAAAGGCAATGTTGTTCGATGAACACTGTATTTGTTGTGTTGCCCCAGTCTTCCACTGTAAAACAGCTGCCATGTTAGTGGAGGTAAAGGATGTCTTCCTATTCCCAGACCCTACTCCCTTATGACACCATCAGTATAATCCAGTAATCAGAAGCAGGAATGGGTGGTATATGTACCTGATAATGTAAAACTCCTCAGGCTCCTGTATTTGTGGAAGTACTCTGCTGCTTTTCATAAGGAGTTATGTGCTGAAGATACTTTTTGGTAATTGTTTTACCACATTAAAGTTGAACACCAGGCAAAACATTTTTTATATATTTTGATTTGATATTTTTCACTAACCCACGCAGCTTGGCCATAGCTTTTTTATTCTAAAAAGCTCCTCTGCTGAGCGCACAAAGAGGGCGAGACACAACCCAAGTGCTGGGGTCAGCTGCGAGGCCAGAAGTTCTATGGAAAATGTATTTTCATGGGGAACTAACAAATAATTTTATATGCTTATCAGAGGAAATAAAACAATAAGGCCACGCTGCTTCGGTAAGTGAGAAATATCAAATCAATAGATATTACAATTGTTCTGGCCGGAGTTCAACTATAACCACTTGAGTACCAGCCTGTAATTGTACAGGCCATTTTTCAGCTTTTCTTTACTTTCTCTCAAAATAAAAAATGGCAGGCAAATTACCTCTTTTTCAAAAGTAGACACCCAATGCCGATCTCATTTTTATGTCACAAATGTTTGAAAATAAAGAAACTTGCTGGTATTGAGGGGGTTTAAACATGGAGCTTGGTAAATATGCACTAGATACCGAACTTCAGGTCATACACAGAGGGATCAAGAGGTAAAGGAATTAATGTAAAGGGTAATTAATAGCTGTGCAGGATAAGGGAGGTGAAAGATAAACTATATATACAGGTCACAATGAGAGACAGGCTGGAGCGTAGATGTGTAGGGCAGGAGGAAAGGGGTGTTTGTGTGTGTGTGTGTGTGAACGGGTTAATTAAATGATCCAAGTCAGTGAAAATTAACGGATGATCAGCAGCTGCTGTTCCTGATCTATTCATTTTCCATTCACAATCACTACTATTTGCTCTTATTCCTCTGTTGTAAGAGTAAGGGAATAATAATGTAAACAGTAGTATGTGATTGGTTATAACAGCGATCACATGCTAAAGATCCACTTAGGGTGCCCACACACCTTACGATAATCGTACAATAATCGCGGGAAATCCCGCGATCGTACGATTATCGTAAGGAGTGTGGAAGCCGTGCGACCTCTACTACTGTAAGGTCGCATGACTTTAAACTTACGAACATGTTCGAAAACCCGCCGAGCATCGAACGATGTTCGGCGGGTGTGTAGCGTGTTCGTAAGATAAAAGCCGGACGGGCCGGTGTGCACAAGCGCACACTGCGCGTTCGGCATTGCGGTCATCGGAAGCACGCCCCTCAGGGGGGCGCAGCTTGCGATCATCTTAAGTACGATCTGCCTGTCCAAGATAGGCAGATCGTACGTTTTTTTAAGTACCTTACAACCATTGCAAGACAAAGTCTTGCGATGGTTGTAAGGTGTGTGCCCAACAATAGTTCGACTTGGTAGAGATTAGTGGGCAGAACAGCCGTCTGAGGGCTTTTCTGCTAGGTGGAGCTGAGGAGCTCCATCTAGTTGCAGAAAAACCTGTATTACATTACACACATTCCCCAAGAAAATAAAAGATATCTAAGAACATTAATTTTGGGGTCTATTCGCACAAAACAAACATTTGTTTGGCCGGATGACTGTGCAAATTGGATATAAATAACCCACCTAAACTATTTTAATGACAAACGAGGGAAGTATTTTTTTTTCCTCTAGCCTCCTACATTGCAGTATATGACTTGCTCATATACTGGTTCACTTTAAGGATATCAACACATGGCAGTACATAAGGGATTGGTGCCTGTAGGATTTGGATGTGCTTGCTGCAAATTCCAATAAGTATAGTAAGCAAGCAAATAAATGGATTTGAGAAGACAGAGATCCATTATAGCTTACCACAATGTCTCTGGAATGACAAAATGTGGAGATTAAAATACAGTTATTGTGCAAGGAGTGGTGACCATAATCATAGTACATCACATAAGCTGATTCTTAATATGTAGTTACACTAGATATGCATGCCAAAGAGGTAAAGACTTTGGTTGTATTTAACTGTGACACGAGTTTGTCTGTGCTGTAATTATAGCATTGACTATACTTTGCTAAACTGGAAATATAGACATTGGCTTTCCAAAGCTTGCCCTCAGAGATCTCTAGCAGTATAGCTTCCAGAACTCTTTTAAATAGAAAATAACTACTGCGTGCTCTTGATAAACTACTGCGTGATTTTAAAAAAAGTATATAACTATGAATAAAGATGTAGTATACGAACAGACCGCACTATCCAGAGAATTCCAATACTTCAGACTTTATTGAAATTCACAGCAAATCCAGTATAACAGTGAATAAAGGTGTACCGGCACCGCAAGCCCCCAACCAGCTACAACCTCTCACATGTTTCACCCGTAGGCTTATTCATGGACCTCTATTCACTGTTAGACTGGATTTGCTGCGAATTTTAATAAAGTCTGAAGTATTGGAATTCTCTGGATAGTGCGGTCTGTTTGTATACTACTACATTCCAAGGTGGAGACGCACCTATCAGACCAGCACCAGGGGAGTCCTGATGGTGGCTAAGGAATTGGAGCGGTGAGATTTCCTTTGGCTCCATAAATAAAGATGATAATTTTCAGAACATTGTTCAAAGTTACATAGTACGTGAGGATGAAAAAAGGCACAGGTCCATCTGGTTCAACCTATATAGTGTGGGTATTATATTTGCACATTTTGCACTGGAATGGACATTTGGAGTTGTTATACATTGGCACTGTTATATTGTTGAATATTATTGGAACATTTGTATATGTGCATAAAATTTAAATGGACACATACATATACTGTATGTATTAATTATTGGGGATATTAATTAGTATACTTTAATAATATTTATTGTGCACCTTGTCCCTTTATATTTATAGTGCAGTATATTATTTGCTACAATTAAAATGTTTGGGTTTAATTCTCTTAACTATAGAAAATCGAACGGACATTCCAAAAACAAATAGTTTTGAACAAAATTCTACTGTATGGCAAGCTTTAGATGTCCTCCAGTTTATGCCATTGGGGTTGCACGTCTGTATGCTCATATGTATATCAGATCCAGAGATCAGGGCTCACTGTAAATGGTCAAATAATTTTGAAAATATAAAGCTGTATAACATTTTAGCATATAATAATAAAATAATAAGACAAACCAATCAATTATTTTATTTTACACAATTTCTAAATGATTATTATATATTTTATATGTAATACTTAAAGGGTACACAGCTCTGTAAGTAAGAGTAATATGTATTAATAAAACCTGAGACATGTTCAGGACACTGACGGAAGGTGTGAAGCATGCACAGTTGCCATGTTATTGACAGCATAAGTAATCTTGTATCTAAATGCTGCAGGGTGGAAAGGGTGACTGTATACTGTGTAGGTTCCAGTTTCTTGGCAACTATGGGTGTCAGCCTGCTTCACAGTTTTGTGTACTTTGTGTTAAAGAAATTAATAGAGAGTAGTATTTCACTCTGCTCTGGGTAGTCAGCAAGAGAGAAGAGGTTACTTCCCATGACTACCTTTGCTCAGTAAGATACATTCATTGATAGTACTTTTATGCATGTGTTCTTTCATTTGCTTCTCTTTCAGTGATCACCAATAGATGGCTGTGATGAACTGACCATAGAGTAGAGCTGAGAATTACTGGGTCATGCCGTACCTGGCCAACACAGCTCATCTTCAACTTGGAGGATTCGCTTTTGCTACAGTGGGCTGGATTTTGGGCTTCGTCGCCACAGGTCTTGTGCAGTGGAGAGTGTGGTATGTGACCAATACCACTGTGATTACCTCTGGCATTGCTTGGGTTGGCATCTGGCGGACGTGTTTCTTCAGCCATATCTTGGTGTCCACAAACCAAAAAGTGATGTACTGTAAGGAATACAGCGTGACGGACTCTTTTGTGCCACGTGAAATATTTGTGGCACAGGGCCTCATGTTGACGGCTATAATCCTTGGTGCAATGGGAAAAGCTGCATCTGTCTTTGGACTAAAACATGTCTATCATGGGACAGACAATTTCAACAGGATTCTTCAGTGGTTTACATTGAGTGGATTTTTGTGCATATTTAGCAGTATTATCATTCTTATTCCAGTGGCTTGGAATATGCACTCCGTTGTCAATAATGTTAGCATTTATTTCCCCAGCACGTATTATATGCCTTCCATTCCTCAGAGGCAGGAAGTCGGTGCTGCCATTTGCCTGGGGATTGTTTCCGCCATCTTCTATTTCTGGAGTGGGATATTTTTCCTTGCCTATAAGCTACCTCACCTTTCCAACAACATTGTTCATCCAATAGGTTCAAATGATTCTGCATTCTCGGATGATTTCAGTATGACTTCTAGGGAGGTGGAAAGGTCTGCAAGCTTTGCGTCACTAACCAGTTTTGGAAGTATACCTTTAAATTGCGATGGAATTAGGAACCAGGCATTTGAATGGGACGTGGGTGAACTGTTATGAATTAACCCTTTGTTTACACATCTCTGTGCCAATGTTTTCTAGAATGCAGTCATCTAATAACCAGCAACTGCACAAGTCTATTTGGATCCCAGGAATATTGTGACTGTATAGAGAGAACTCGTATACTACAGGAGTTAATGTAAAAATATATAGTTACAAAAATGTGTCATTAAACTTGATGCAGTTTTAATTAACCGCCATAATTAAGGGTTTACCATTTATGAGGGATGTCTTTGGGATATTACAAGTAGAAACAGGGACACCGGCACTCCAAAGAGTCTCTGTTTCTACCTATGCATATAATGGTTGCCATCCGTTGACCACTGCAGCACCCATCCTGATTTTTGTGGAACAAGATGTCAGGAGTGCGTTGGGTCCATGGATTTTCATTTGGGACAGTACAGGTACGTTTTCATACATAGAAACATATACTGTGTATTGTTGTGGCATTTCTGATCTAGTCATCTACTTCTCAATTAAGGTTTCCTAAAAAGTATTGTTTGCAACCTTCTGTAATTTAAAATCAGCTTTATGTCACATAGTGGTATTGTAATAATATCTCTTATATTACAATAGCACAACTATTCAAGATATGTCAAGTGCAGGTAGGGGGTATTGGCATGAAGAGGGAGAGTTTTGTATGTGGTTGTTGCAATCATTCAAAGGCATACAGCAAGACTCTTAAATTGTTTATATTGATGCTGATTGGACTGATCTAAAAATTAGATGGAATTAAAATGAGAGGAGTCTCCTGTCATTTTCTAATATGTATTGGAAAGCTGGAATCTGATTAATTGTTATGGGCTCAATTGATCCCCCTTTCTCTCCAGCCTCTGTAATTCTCCCTAATGAACTCAGTGAGCTGAATTGAGATTATGCTCATTGAGTTCCCTTGAATACATTAATAAGCTTAGGTACCATCTGTGGTTTGTGGACTTCCATTAACAATGTATATTGCATGTGTATTTGTCTGTTATAACATCAGCACTGTAATAGGAATACATACTAGAGTTGGTTTTGATAATGCAATCAAAGCTTACTTGGAAAAATCCCTTTTAGGTAATGAGTGCTGCCTTTCTGTCTGTCCATCACATTCGACAACTTCCTGGATTCCCAGTGTGCTTTAATAATAATAATAATAATGCAATCTCGATTTCTTGATAGCCTATAATGCATTGCATCCAGCGAGCAATAATATTGTTACATTGTTTAGATGTTGTGTTGTAGTTCAGAAGGCAGACTCTGTGAGTCGTGACACAAGGAAGGGCATGTTTACAGGGCTGAGTAAAACTGTGTCAGTGCATTGAGGAAGTACATCCTATGGGTGCCTTCAATAAGTATGTTTGCATACTTCTAGATCAATATGGTTATTAGGAATGGGATCGAACTTATAGAAATTCAATACAGAAATACATCTTTATTTTCAGTTTGTGACCATTAAAATTCTACGTTTGCAGTTTTACACTGACTAGTTTTTGGTGAGCAAGGGAAATATTTCACAAACAAAAGTCAAACACACAGCACAAAACAGACCTGTAGAAAAAATTACAGCATGGCACTTATAATAAATGATGAAGCAAAAATTTGCTGTGAAGCCCTTTGATCATTTCAATGTGCACCAATACGTGTAATAAAGTTTCTGTAAAAGATCTGACCAAAGCAAATATTGTAATATTTTTATTGAAATAATGACTGCATCACTAGATAGCATGTGTCTTAATGTTACAAACATAATTATAATAGTAATAATAATAGTAATAATAATTGATCCTTATAAAAAAAACGTTCTGTTATCCGAAGGTTTATTGTGCGGTGGAATTATTTTGGAAGGAATTACGTGCCATAAGTAGATCATATATATAATAGAACTAAGCTTTCTAAATAGTAATGCTCTCTCATTTAATGCCTTGGGAACAATTCAGACGAGCGGAGAGGACCCACATAGTCTGATCCCTATTCATTGCAGGTATTGTATTGGTAAATACCATTCTCTTGTATCCTGGAGACATCAGTAAATAGTCTTCTGTTGCTCCTATCCTATGACTGACAGCTAGTCCTGTAGCCTTTGTCCTGGATGTACTATATACTCCGAAAACAAGCTGCTTAACAATAACTAACAGAACAAGATATAGTGGAAATGTGAGTCACATGGAATCAAAAATCCAACTCTAAAAATATTTGTTCTGTATTTCATTACAGAAATGTTACACGTGTTTATTTAATCACTTGGTTTTGGTCTAATTCATTTTGTACCAAGACGGTGTACTCTAAAGATGGAATCTAAAATGTCTAGAGTTATGCTCAGGGGACACTCCAAGAGCCTGTACAGGCTTCACAACACACAATAAGTACCATATGCATGTACACGTTACAACCAGATTAGTCGCCCCTTCCTGGGCCAGTATATAAAAAACGGAGGATTCCAAACAAATTTGTCAGAGCCGCAAAGTAACCCTAAAAAAAACCCAGAAAAGAAAAATAATAATTTACCTACCAGATTGTAAGCAGTCACGAGCAGGGCCCTCCTAACCCTCCTGTATTGAAATTGTCGCCCTCCATTTCATAAAGCGCTGTGCTATTGAAATTCTGAATAATCATAATAATTATGTAGCGCTCACCCCCTAAGGAGCCGCTGGAATAAATGGATTCTTCTGCGATAGACCTTTTTGTAATGGATCCACAGCACACCAGCACACCAGCACACCAGCACACCAGCACACCAGCACACCAGCACACCCTACGAGATGTTGTAAAAGCTTTACCAAACAAATGAAATCTTAGTACAATGAATATGAATAGGAATGACAACAATATCCACAGAAGATAGAATCTCCCTGGGTGTCTGAACAACATTACTATCTCAGCTATAGGAATATCACTTAAGACAGTACTGTGCTGACCAAGGTATTCTTATGGACTGAGAGCAAAGGTCAAATGTTAATCATAATTACCTGGGTCTCTAACCAGCTGGCAAGTGGTACTTTTCTTCAGCTAGCCAATGATGGGGCCCAAAATGCTATTGATTTATTATTCTGACAAGCAGTAATATAAAGGCCTAAGGCCTCTCACCGGTCCTGCAGTGGAGACGCGATCTAGGGGTGGTCAGGTGAGGAAGCAGGCATCCACGCATCCCCCAGCAGACTTTCCTTGGCTCATTAAAGTCACATTTCCCCCCCTCAAAGCTGCTTTAAGGACTTACCTTAAATGATGCCTCTTGATCCGATCATCTTCTTCTTTCCAGTAAGTTTCAGGAGTCCCTCCAGAGCTGGTGCCCGTCTCTGATCCAGCGCTGACTGCTGTGTCTTCAGTGTCCCATGGTGTCTGTGTGCGTGCCTGCTGCCGGGCTGCGTGCATTGACTTACCATGTGTCTCTCCTCTTCTCCCGACCGAACATCTCTACTGCGCATGCGCCTGCCCCATGATCCTTCACAGCCGCTTGAGAATCTTCATAACTTCGGATGGGAGTGAGCGGCAGAGTCAGAGGTATCTAATAACCTGTTTGGTAACTTTCAAATTTTTTAAAATGTTTTTGCATATGTCTACGGCAAGCAGTAGATATATGCAAAAAAAAAAAAGGTTTCATTCTACTTTAGGCAACCTGGATGCAGACTACAGTAGCACTGTCCTCAGGTATCAGCAATGTAATCCTATGCAGTGCTGATCAATGGAACCGGGCATCCTGCGATAACAGGAATGATGATACTGGGGTCCGCAATTTGTATAGGCCGCACTCTTGGATATACTGAACGGAGCGGCACTTACGCTCTAGAATAATAGCAAATGTCAGTCTCCACAGTCTTCTCCTGCTTGGAAGACGTTACCTGACCAGGGTGTAAGCACAGCTTCTAATGGAGTGTTCACTTGGTGACTGGATCTGCAGTTCTTTCTGACACAGAACCACTCACTTGCTTCCCCAGTTCACGACATGAGCGGGATCTTTCCACATTCATTGCCAGCCCATTCTTCTCTGGATCCCACACACCTGGGAATTGTAGTCCAATTGAGTCAGTTCACTATAATCTTTCCCTGGCTGTGTACTATAATTCCCACAAGCCTCCACTGCAGGGATCCCGGGCAGCAGTAATTAACTCTAAACACAAAATTATGTTACAACAGTATACCGGCTATACCTGGGCTACAATAATAATACAGGCATTCCTCACTTAACGACCGAGTTCCGTTCCTATGACCAGGTTGTTAAACTAATTGGTCGTTAAGCGAGGAACTGTATACAGTACTGTACTTCATTAGTACTGTACTGTATAGTGTTGCAGATGTACAGTACAGAACAGTGTACTATGAATCGGGCAATAAAATACTTACCGAGACCCGCAGTGGAGAACGGAGTGCAGCACTTCTGCCGGCGAGACGTCACACTGCCGCTGTCACGTTCCCGCACGTAAGGTCGGAGAGCTGGTCGTGAGTAGGGATGGGCTGCACGTTCGAGTCGAACCTATGTTCAACTCGAACATAGCATATTCTAACGTTCGCCGAACATTATGGGATGTCCGCGGTCTGTTCGACCGCGGGACATCCCACAATGCACTGCACCATCCGAAACGGTACTTGGCTACAGTCTTGCACCTGACCGCAGGTCAGGTGCAAGACTGTGCCAATCAGGGCTCAGTACAAATATAGAGCCATGATTGGGCAAAGTCACGATGACTCTGCCCAATCATGTCTCACAGCTAAGTCCCTGCAGCAGTGAGTGGTCGCAAAACAGGTAAGTGGTAAAGCGAGGAAAGGCTGTACTGCACTTTTATACAGCTTTCATAAGAATGCTGCTGTAGCTAAGGTATTATAAAGGATGAGACATGCATGTTGATCCTCTATGTGTTTGCATGGGTTTCCTCTCATTTCTTTTTTTTCTTCCTATAATTCAAACACATACTGTAAGTGGTGTCTTATCTATGTGACCCTAAATATGTACATTTACACTGCATGGCTCAGCATTAGAATTTAAGCTTATTTGGATTCAGGGGGTGGTGTGAATGGTTTTC